GTGAGGTTGCGGCACATTGAAACGGGGAAGGTTGTCGTCAAATGGGAAGGGCACACCACATTGGTGAAGTCAGTGTGCTGGAGTCCAGATGGTGGGCAAGTTGTGAGTGGATCATTCGACGGGACGGCAAGAGTGTGGGATGTGTCAAGCGGAGAACCTGTTCAGGGTTTGAATCCAATAGAGACAACATCAACAAAAAAAACCAAAACCGTGCATACCATGTAACAGGCCAGCAACAGCCAGTACAAGGTGTACAATTACTACCATCCCCACAAACACATGACAGACTTGTGTTAGGCTTGTCAGTCTCCATGTAAGTCCGTGCATGCAGCGAGGTTTTATGTATACTCCTACCAGCCTTGTGGCACTCGGTAAACCCTTGTTCAAGTGGTAAAGCTCAAGTTCAATACATGCTACTACAATTATTGTTACAATTGTGCTTCCTGGTGGTCCCTTGTGCATATGATAAACTTATACACATTCCCACTAGTCTTGTTGCCCTATTGTGAGGTGATTGTGGGCTCCATTTGATCACGATAATGGGCACATCAAATTGCACTGCAGTAGCTAGAGTACAGAAGGGCAAGTACTAGTACTGAATATGAAAGCGACAATATAAAGGGAGTCGTGATGTATGACGTGAACCAGCAGAGATGAGAGACAGAGTGAAAGTAAAAGCCACACTATACATAGACAATGACAATGCGAGACAGTACTAGAGGAACCGAGAAGGCGCGAGAGGAGCTGAGGAGGCACGAGAGGAGTCGCGAAGGTGCGAGAGGACTTGATCGAGAAGGCGCAAGAGGAGTCAAAAAGGCGCGAGAGGAGTTGAGAAGGCATGAGAGGAGTCGATCGAGAAGGTGCGAGACAGCGCAGGGAAAATAAAGGGCGGAGGAAGGTTTCTGATGCAGAGCGATGCAGAAGGCTACTAAAATAAGAAGACAAAGAGAACCGATAAAACTTACATGTACCAGGTAGCAGCGAGGGCACGAGAAGAGTGAATAAAGAAAAGTACTTACAAGGGCGGGTGCTATTGAACGGCAGCTGCTGGAGAGCTGGAATGTAATAGTAGCAGGAAAGAGGCTTGATACTTATGTGATAGAGCCGGACGGATCTTTGACGAAGTCGGAACTTCAACGTGAATTCTGCTTAAGCTTCAAGTTCGGGGTCCTAGGTGAATGACTTGACGAAAATTATACAATCGACGCACGTGCCGAGCGCCAAGCTGCTGTCGGCCGAGTTCATGGCTTAGAGACGAAGTACCATCCGCATTTAGGCAGTGTTTGCTAAGAGATTTATCAAGAATTTTATCAACTTATGGGCCGTCGATTTTACACTTAACTAGATTTAAAGCAATTGGAGCCTGGAGAAATAACTTAGAACTCGCCAAACTCTCAAGTGACCAACTAGAATATGTGTTATGGTTATGCAGTTGATACTTAGACTGCACCGAATGGATCTGAGAAACCCAAAAATAAATTAGCAAAAACTCCCTATATATAAGACTTCGGTAAGCATGATGTGCATGGAGTTCAAGTGTTTGAGCTCCAGATTTTGATCATACATACTAGTCTGCACTTCTGTTAATCATTGTACAAACTTCGCACATTTCATGTAGTAGCTTTACATTTCGCACATATCTGCTACAACTTGCATACATGCTACAATCTCATGTGTACCTCTGCACTTCTGTTAGTTACTTTACAAGCTTCGCACAATTCGTGTACAAACTTTGTATGTCACACATATTTGTTACTCCTTGCATACATGCTACAAGCTCATTACATTACCTTCTACCATTCTGTTCGGGGTTTGTAAACCATACACGGCAGTAACCGGCATACACGCCAGCGGTTCTTTTGTTGATTGAACGATACCAGTTTGTGTACGCGGTGAGTTACTCACCCGAGGCAACAATGATTGCGATAGGAGGATTCAACAAGAGTGGAATCGAAATCTGGGACGCAAAGACAGGCAAGCTGCTCAACACCGTGACATTCGGAGATGATGACGTCACTTGGAGCTTAACCTGGACATCGGACGAAAAGAAGCTTATCTCCGGGTCAGGGAATGGCCTGATTGAGATATTCGACACTGCCACATGGCAACAGATCGCCGTTCTTGAGGCTGACACCAAGGGCCCATATGAAGATCATGACATTGATTTATATCCTGTCTACTCCCTCACTTTATTTCCGAACGACCCGCCTCCTTGCGAGTACATCATGGGATTGTACAGCACGTCTCTGGAATTTGGACACAAACCTCCAAGTCGGACCACCTCTCCAACACGAAGAATACGTCTATTGTGCGGCCTTTTCCACTGATGGAAAGCTGCTATCCACGGGTGATAATGAAAACGCGTACGTATGGGACATTCAAGCCATCCTCAAAATAGCTGGACTAGAAGATCTCCTGACCATACCTGATGTGAGTACCAACACTCCCATTCGCCTTCTCATTCCCAATCGCTGTTAGACACGAAAATCTCAACTCGAAAAGAAGGTATGTATCATCTTGTCGCTTTTCAACAATGAAACACGCTTATGTCTCACTTGCACAAGACGTTATCAGGTGTATGTTGCACCCTTTTCGGACCTTGACACTGATTGTAACATCGACATTCCAGGCTAATGCTACGCGACGTCCGCCCATCCATCCAGTCCCACGTCGATTGCCATCAGGCTTTTTCGATGACATGCAAGGCCGTGATCCTGTGCGTTACCACCATTCACCTGCAATACTTGTTCTGATTTCATATTTTCAGTCCTCTACTACCCGCCATCTCAATCCTGATCCCTCTCTACATTGCCGCCGCCGCACTTTTGCACTCTCCTGGGGATCGCGTCCACGTACGCTCCTCGCTCGCCTTCCCCAACTCTTTCGCCGTTCCCAGCCCAACGCCGATGAACCAATCCAATCTCAGCAACGCCCAGGGCCTAGTACCTCCTCTCATCGCAGTCCTCCTGTTATTGAAGTTCCTGCACTAGATGACAAGAAGGTATGTCTTCTTGGGGACGTGTTCTCAATGGCTGGCATCTCAAACTTTCTTTACAGGCGCTGTATACTGCTCGGCGACCGGAACGAGCTAGCGACAAGGCGAAACGCATCAAGAACCCCAAATGGTGGGCTCGTATTGTGCTGTTCCTCTGCTGTGCTTCTCCGGCCACCGACGGCAATCATTAATTGTAGTAGAACGTGTATAATCGCATTCATCTTGATCCCTCCTTTTGTTATCTCTCAGTCTCGTCCGCTATCATGAATAACAATCATTGACGCCTCGCAAAGTTCTAATTCGTCTGAAGTGATATGTCGATTTGCACATCAGTTGGTGAAGACTGTCTAGCCTGGAGGAGCTCAGCATGACGTGAACTTACAACTACATCAAGTATATTTCATCCGTGTGCTCAATGTGTGCCCTAGATTCTCGAGCACTAGACCCAGTTATGCGTGGATGCTTCTCCACTCGCCCATTCGCTCGACCTTTGGTTCCTCGAACGAACACCCTACAAGGCACTGACCCTCCTGGCAGATTTAATTTATTTTCAATATGGGGTTCGCTCGTTTCCAGCCCAGTCAGAATTATGGTAAGTAATCGTTTTTGGATGCTCACGACTTCGACTTGCCCTTCGGGGCATTGCTGGACATTGTGCATACAACATTATCACTTACCACCTCGTTTCAGCCCGGCCTTCACGAAGTCATCACCGACAAGACAAAGTCTGCATGGACGCAGTACGTACCTGTGGCAATGTTCACTGAGTGTTCTAACAGTCATCACATTCATGCGTCAATTGATTGATTTCTGCTCTGTTCTAGATTTTTTATGTTGCCTAATTCATGCCGCTTTTCACAGTCATCTATATACACTCGACCTAGCAAGGCCGCCAATATGACCACTCGACCATTCGCTTCGAGTGCGCTTTAGCTTTGGCTTGAGGAACACAAGACCATTTCCCAACGGGGTCGACCGACTGTGAGCATAACTCTGTTAATGTTGTCCGTTACTGACTATTGCACCCCATCGTCGTCCAAAGTCTCCACCTCTAGGATTAATTGAATTTTAATTCTTGGGATGATCCTATGATGCCTCTCGGGAAGACGACCAAGAACATCAGCCAGACCCTCGTATGTGCTGCTTGTTTGACCCGGTGATTTTTCCTTCGGGACACGAAAGGCGGTAAGTCTTATACTCTATCAGGTGTCTAATGTCCACGGAATAATACACATCTGGTGTTCTATGCACTACATCTGGCTTGTCCGTAACCGACACTATTGCGGCAGCTTACAATGAAACCGAAATCGTTAGCCTACCATCTCTGCAGTGTCTTGACGGTGACACACAGGCACATCTCTTGCACCTTCCTCACGACGAGAGCAAGGTGTAGGTGTGCTTTGGTACTACTGATTTCGTATGTAGAATTTGCAGGGCATGGAGTGCAGCAGCAGAGGATCGAGTTCGACAATAGGCTACAGTTCGGCCATGGGATACAGTCAACCATGGGATCAAGGGATGGTCATCCAATCAACTTTCGGCCATCAAGTTGAGCTTCCTATGGGATCGCTCCTAGCCATACTTTCAAAGCCAAGTTCCCTAGATAGACGAACTCAGAAATCTGAGGGAAACATGGACCAGGAGGAGACTTTCTGGACCGGGACTTGTCGAAACCCATATCTTGCTCGTCCTAACGCCTCCTCTCATTCCTCGTTTCGCTGTCAGTCCTGCCTTTAATTCCCCACCGCTTGCTACTCCCTGCAGTTTTCATTTATATGGACGCGCCCATTTAATGCAATTGCAAATCCTACCACTGCTCAAGGCCACAATGAACGCAGGTATCGTAAAAAGGAGCATGCTCCAGCGGCGGTGCTTCATTTTCAGGGAAACTTGTTATGGTTCGGAGTTTGATGCTGGGGATGGATCCTGAGTGCGTTGCGTAATTCAAGGACTGGAAACATGGAGTAAAATGCACCTGAGCCGATCACGCGCCGTGGACGCAGTTGTCTGACGTTCAAATTTGAGGAGAGAAGATACTTTGTCCATGCAACGTGTGAATAATCGAGTTGATACTTGTTCACTAATGTCGCTAGTTTACATAAAAAATGACATGGTTTGGCCCTTCAGACACTTGAACTCAAGCGGTGCAGCAGTAATACCATTCGTGAATGATCATAATTCAGTAGTCATCGTCATCGTCACTATGAGATGTTTGAGATATATGCAAGGTTTGTGCAGGAGTAACACTTACTCAGGATAGCCATTATTGAAACGCCAAAGTCACCATGCATCTCCTGTTGGAGAGTGACGGATCAAGCCAGGTTCTAGTAAAGATATCGATAACATACTGCATCATAAAGTTCGTGCTCTTCGCCCTCATCGTCGAGAGGGTTCCAAGTTGGGTCGACATCCTCCCACCTGCAAGGAGGTCATTGCACTGCTGAACCACGAGACGATCTCGACTCACCTGTCAATCGCATCATAAGCTTTCTCGTCTCCACGGTGACCAAAAGGCCATTCCCAGAACTTGGGACGAGGCTGTTTCAGCCTGTACAACGGCAATATATGTTGCGGTCGGGTCGCATCCTTGACGGGAAGACCATAAGCAGATTCTGAAGACCATGCAAAACTGGCTGCTCCTCCAGCGTTGATAGTTGGTGTAACAGGCCCATCGGCTTTGAGCGTCACAGAAAACTTTTCTGCTTCTACGCCAAGTGTGAACAGTGCAGAAGTTGAATTTCCACATACCAGACTTACTTCTGTCAGACAGATGCATCATATATGCTGCGCAAGATATCACTTCAGTGACGATGTACTTCCCTTTGAGGACACCAGGCATGGACTTGAGCAGCCTGATGATACACTCGTCGTGAGGAAGGCTACTGTATCTTGGCTTGTGCATGATCAACACAGCTGCTGGTTTGTTACCATCGAACTGAAAATCGAATTTGAGGGTAACATTCACTACACCTGGTGCGGCGCTGCAACATGGTCAGATATATGAACCAAACACTGCATTACTGTAGCGCCTACACATCAGTAGAGGTGTTGACTTCCTTAGTGGTGGCACTCCACGATTTGACAATGAAGTGATCGTCCCCTCCTTCATGTTCGTTGGGGAGCAGTGCTGAATCCGCAAAGTCAATGTTGAATTTGTACTTGGACAATTTAAGCTGTTCCTGGAAATCTGCACTGTATATGTTTCCTTCCCAATCGAATTCTCCAGTTTCATTGATGATAGTTCCATAATCGCCCACCTGTATTTGTCAGGTTGGTTGGTTGAAATCAAGAAGCGTCTTTACATACCGCGATCTTTCTTGGTGGATCCCAATTGGCCCACTTGGATGTAGCTCGTTGAATGAGGTCGATGAACTTGCGTGACGCGTACTTATTTGTCATAGCAACGATATTGGAAAGCAGGAATATTCTAGGGGACCATGGGCAAGCATAGATCTCCTTATATACCTTTTGACTGGCGCTAAGGTGTAATCGATGAATGTTCTTAGATTGCAGGGCTTGAACAGGTCATGATCACTTATCTGAGTCTCGACACTGCACTGTGCAGGCTCCACCGTGACGGTACGAAATCCGAATCAAGGCGAAGCAGAAGCCGCAGTAATAACACGCGGAAGAACGGCAGTGCAGTGAGCGTTTAAGCTGTGGTTTCCATAACCAGCTGTCTATACATCCTAGACCCTAGTGCACTGTTTTTCTGCCCAGACGAACGCAGATTACACAAGTTCTCGATCGAAATATCCAGAACGAGGCGACGAATTAGCTGTAGTCACCGACACTGCCACCGACATCAGACATTCGATGTTTATGTGTATTACTAATGATGACATTAATGTTGCCTGGTCCCAGCCGTCAATGCATCGCCCTCGCCATTGTAATTATTAAAGTTAGGAATGGAGCGGTAGTTCCACAATGTTGAGCCTGGATTAACTTATGTAACCAATATTAATGGTAGGGATGCAATCATCCTTCGATTTCATTTTGGTGATCGAAGCAGAGTACTAGTGGTATATATGCGGCCATCACCAAAGCATCTCCCAAGTTTACCTCTCACTCACACCCCCCATTTTTCACCAATATGACCATCGTCTTAAATGATCCTACTTGGTGGCGGCCATCAATTCATATCGAGTTTTCAGCTATTTTTTAGGTTCGTCACGGTGGCGAGCAGTCGGATGTTGAAGCTGATGTTTTAATCTAACCTTGACTGTGGTTTCGCAGTTGCCTCCTTTGTTATAGTGACGTATGATTGGGGTGAGCATGATAATATTAAAGGACTGCTGAAGCGCTGATATCCTACAAACATTTTCAGCGCTTACATTCGGACAAGAGGTATGTTGATGCTATGACCTGAACAGCCATCTCGCTAAGAATTGTTTTATAGATCGAATTAGTCTGGGTGAGCAGAATCTCATGTCAGAGGAACACGCATAAAATACGCTTGGTTCTCAGAGGCAACGCTGGTCACTAATGACAGTTCTGTATCTCAGTGTATGTAGCTTTCTTGTCACGGTTGTCATGTTGCGCTAACTTGAAATATCCTAGGTTCGTTACCTTGGAATCATATCTACTGTGTATGTTCGGAAGGATAAGCAATCAGTGTTGTGCTAATAGTCTATCTCTCATAATCAGCCTGTACATGCTGGGTATGTTCTCCTCAGTAACATTCGCTGTCATTGCTTCTTCTGACCAACGGCATATAGGCAATGTTCCTACCATCTCGATGACAGATACAGTGAGTCTTCTGCAAGATGTTATATTCCCCTCCAATTAATGGTGGTGCCCTGTAGGGGTGAGTAAGCTTCTTCTAGTTCACTCACTTTGTGGTTCACCAACGACTGCCACGCTATATTGCTACAGATGTGAGTCTGTTTGGAGTGTGTGCTTAGTCTCCGAGGCTGATCACTGACTGGATTTCTCAGGCTGGATTACGGACGGTCGTGTGCAATTGGATTTATGTTGTGGGTAGTTGCAATGCTTGTGTGTGAGCTATGGCACTTGCGAGATCTCGGCGATATTGACTTGACTGAAACATGCTGCAAGTCATCATGATCACTCGGTTACATGCCATGTATCATCGATCTAGAAAAATCCTGATATTTCTCATTGTCATCTTCCTGACCGTCAACATTTTCGGCGGAGTTGGCGCCGTCATGACAACGACGCATGCTTCATGGGGTACGTTTAATTGTGGATGTCAAAAAATGTGCATGGGGACTCATTGACGAATTCCAGAGGAACTCATTCTCTCCCGGCACCTATCTGTGCTCGATCAACTTTGGCGGAAGATACCATACTTTCTGGGTTCTATTACTTGGATACTCGGCACTGCGTGGGAGGGTCCTCGCACTATGTCTCGCAGTCTGGATTGCTGTCAAACACTTTCGTGAACTGCGACCATACTCGGCAGAGGGTTTACTGGGATTATCGTGGACTGTTTCACGGTTGTTGATGAAAGCTCACGTGCTTTACTTGCGAGGTGAGCTCATGTTGTGGACACGGTTCCCGTTTCCGCTAAAAAGATCGGACGTTGCAAGCTTCTTGCTGTTTCTTGCTTCCGCCTCATTATTGATTGTCTCAGTACTCTCAGGGGTATGTCAAATATCTCGCTGATCCCTCCATGCGACCCTGGTTCATCATTTCTATAGGAATATTCCATGAGCGGGTGCGATTGGTGCTGGTTTGTTGCAGATTTTTGAGGTCCGTGCAGATGTTTGTGCTGGGACCTCGCTTGATCCTTAGCATTCGAGAATACCACGCTAATCTCGTGGCCGACTCCGACGCAGCAACTGGCATGACCACAATCGCTTTCCAAGAGCACGTGCATATATCGACTAGCAGTAGTGTGTAATGCTCGGTGAAATTAACGGTTGTCTGGTGCTCTGAGAGGAGCAGGGAATTTGCTTTTATTATTCCCGATAGTGAGCATCAGTAATGTGCCGGATCCTTATTTAACCCAAATGCTTGTGAGCAGATTTTTCGAGCTACCTTAAAGGTTGCTTTTTCTACTTATTAGAAAGTGGTTCGAGCGTGCAAACAAGTTCATGCGCGAAGTTCGAAAAAGTTCAATTCAAGTATAGCAAGTAAGGATATCCGATGTTCTATGCACTGTATCTGGTCTCTCCATAACCCACACTATTGCGGCAGCCTGGCCATCTCTGCAGTGTCTTGATGGTGACACACATGCGCATCTCTTTCGCTCTCCTCGTCGATAGTGTGCTATAGTCGCCTCCAAAGTATAAGGCTTTCCTGCAATACATCACTCATCACGGATTGTTTAATGACCATGTATTGTCAACAGTATCTATCAGGCGCTCTTGGGGCGCTTCTTTATTACAAACTACCTATCCACAAAGATCGAACATGAGAGTCAAGTAGGATTACGTCCTCAAGCAAACCTTCCCCTTCACTGCCAGCTGCGCCCCAAACTGGGTCATCACACACCTACAGCAGTATTAGTACGGTAGTACAATAGGCCGCAACACACAAAGACAAAGAGCCATCTGTTACTCTCCATTACGCGAAAGAACAGTAGTCAGCAGAAAGGAGGAGCAGAGGCGGATAATTCTGGAGGGACGTGCTAACAAATTAACTTTGTTCATTCGAGCAAGGTGAGAGCGAATTCGATTTGGGCCAGATGCCCACACCATTCGGGGTACAAATAAGGACGAGCTATTGGGTGTTGGGGAGCATGGGTTGAGCATGGGGCAAGCAGAAATAAGATATGCTGTCGGCATCTATTGCTTGCCTGAAAACTCTGATACTCTTCGTTGCGTGATCGGCT